ATTATGCCAAAAGTCTTCTCACTGGGTGAGCTGCTTTGCAATATACTTCACATTGTTAGAAAAGGCTCCAGAAGGCCTTGGGGACATCAGTATCAGGGGCTGGAGCTGGACAGGCTCTTTCATCAGCACTTCTCCTTCCCTTTGCCAGCCAGGACCTCACATACTGTTCCGGATTGAACTGTCCAGTGATGGTCCATTACATTTAATGAAAACCAGGCTGGACAGTCAGCTGACAGAGAGAGCATTCCTTTTTGCAGTAAGGATATCGTTCATGCAGCTGAATGCCCGCTCACACTCACTAGTGGAGACAGCGATGGTTCGGACTGCTTTCAGTAGAGGCTCCATGGCAGCAGGTGTACGGGATGCCCTGGTTTCCTTGTATTCGCGAAAGCCCTGAACAGTCTCTCTTCTGTCCACTTTCAGCACTTCGCACAAACGTAGCACCTCTATGTCCCCATACTGTACGTCTAACTCCTCTTCAGGCCAACTTCCAGGATGGATAACTTTCATGTCCTGGATTAGCTGATTGTCCCGGGCCTCCCGGCCATGTAATGGGATTTCTCTTGTGCTGACATGAGAGGAGGTTGTGGAAGTCATTCTGTGTCTCAGATTCTCTACCATACTGTGGAAAAACTGACCTGCATGAATCTGTACAAGCCTGCCATTCTCACGCAGGGCAACACCCTTGAAGGACTTCTCAGCTAGAGCTGTATGAACTGTAGTCATGTGTGGGCCAGGCATGGTGACCATGGATTCAAAAACTCGTATTTCTCGAGTTAAGAGCCTATCTGCTGTAGGCAGTGTCATCTCTCTTTTTTGGAGTTGCCGAGAGAGGTCGCTGAGCTCTGTGAGCGCATCGTACATCAGTCCCAGATTGCTGACAAACGTTGCAGATGTGAGCACATCATCCAGGCCCTTGTACTTCGCTCTGTCTCTGGAATCCCTGCTCGTGTCGTTTGCAGCATTTGTGAAGTGATCATGAAGCACTCGGTAGTTTTCCCAGACTGCTCTGACGCTCCTTTCACTTGAAGCCACCCAGCGGATGGACAAAACACGCCCTATCACCAGGAGACGCTGTCCGACTGCTTGCGCACACTGCGCTAACTGCCTCTGATTTTTGGGGGAGGCATGGAACAAGGAATAGAGTTTGTCAAAAAAGATCTGGAAATGATTGAGCCCTGAGACCTCCTTGACCACATCCCCAACTGCCAGCTCTAGACGATGATTGGAGCAGTGCCACACAAACAGGCTTGGGAATTTACTACACAACTGGGTAGCAACGCCTGTTCTCTTCCCTAGCATGACTGAAGCCCCATCACATGCAAAAGAAATGAAACACTGACCTAAAAAGTCCTCGTTAAAATCTCTTCCAAGACACTCCATTAACGCCTTTGTGATGTCATCAGCCGTTGTTCCATCCAACTCGATCAGCTCCCAAAAAAACGTTTCGGGCTCAGCATCAGCTAATGCTGAGCGTAGACACACAACAAGCACCGTTTTACCACTAATAGTGGTAGATTCATCGACCAAAACACAGAGTTTTCTTTGGTTTTCTGTAATGTCTTTTGCCATTTTTTTCTTCAGCTCATGAGCTATGTGGTCGATGATTTCGCCACAGGTTTTATTGGAGTGCAAAACCCTGCCCACGTTCAGCCCATTCAGTTTCTGTACATTCAAATCAATTGGCATGTCTGTGAATGGCCGGCTATGTTTGCCAATTTTATATGCTGTTCGAAAAACTCTGATAGTGGTGTCTAATTCAGATTTATGCATAGACTGCACTTGATGTTGAATAGTTTCACGTGAAGCAGATGTAAGGATGTCAGCAGCTTTTACATGGGCTTGTGATTCATTATGTTCTTTGATTTTTTTTCTCAGGCTAGCTTGTTGTTTGCCCTTGTCAACACCGAAATGAGACACTGCACACTCACCCCATTCAGTTGACAGTTTCAGTCCTTGTCCAGTGTGTATTCCCAAAGATTTGACATCTCTGCATATCCGACATCCTTGCTTCTTATCTTTAAGAAGGAGCCATGCATTGGTCTTGCAAAAATATTGCACCTGGTCCGTTGTCCAGCAGTCAGGTGCATCGCTTTGCCCGGTGTTGGTGGTGGCAGTTGCGCCAGCAGCAGCTAACGTTAGAGGCTCTGGAGGAGGCGGCGGAGCTAGTGCTAATGCTAATGCACTAGAACTTGGAGCAGGAGGATCAACCAAAGAAAGCTCCCCATCAGACACAATTTCCAACACAGGCACAGCATTCTCTGTATTTGAAGTTTCTTCCGGCGACAACCGCTGTCTTTTTGCACTTTTATTAATCCACGCTAACATTTTAGAAATGCTAATTTGTGACGTGACTTGCTTTCCTTCTCTCGGGGGCGTGCCTGCTCTGTTCTATCACTCTACATAGCCACCCACTGGGTGGGAGTTGCACTGCATAAACACAACACACGTGCATCTAGGTATGTAAATTGTAAAGCATTAAAACATGGTTTTACTAACAGTTTTCAGTATGTTGTTACTTCGGCATTATTATTATTATTATTTGAAACGTGTATTACTATTAAATCACGGTCAAATAGGTTAATTTTGACATAGTCGTTTCCACCACAGTATTTACATGGAGAAGATAAGCCCCGCCCCCTCTCCAGCACGTTCTGTTTGAATGACAGGAGTAAACAGCTGACAGCCGCTGTGAAACTCCAGCGGTTAGAGCGATGAGAATGTCCGTTCGGCACCTCATGACGCATCTACTGAGTACCGGGCGGCTGTATATATATATATGGATGTATAATAAGAACGGCGGGAGAGTGTTGAGTACTGGCACGGTGCATGAGTACCGGAGTACCGCCAGCATGCCGGTACTGAGCAAGAAGTGCCGGTACTCCATGGGTCAGAACCAGAAGTGCCGGTACTGCGTACCGGTGAGTACCGGCCCAATTCCAGCACTGGATCTAACATGTCATGATAATGCATGTTGCTTACCCTCAAATAAGGGGGTTCATTTGTGAAGAAGAGAAGAACCTTTTTGTATCCAAAATAGTTCCAGATGGCAGATGTTGCTTTTCTTTTTGGAAGTAAATCTTCATTCTCGCCGGTATTGTCCTCCTGTGCCTCGCTCATTTTTTACCGGTGTTTTGATGGTCTGCAAACTAGCCAGGCGGGGCCCGCTGTGATCTGATCAAGAATGATTGTGATTGGTGGTTTGCTGTGCATGCAGCCAGCATGTCACTCACTCAAGTACCCCTGACATGAGAGCCGCGCAAGTTTTCCTTTTGTAGCAAGCAGCAATATAATTGTAACATGACGTGTTTGAGTTCATTTACCTACTTAATATCGCACGTCCTACAAAAAAAAAAAAATGTTAATAAAAATAATTAATAAAATCGCACGTCTCTGCGATGTGAATATCGCGCATGCGCATATCGCGGTTATCGCCATGACGCGATATATCGTTCAGCCCTACTTCACACCCAACTGAATATAGTTACAATCTGTTACGTTTCTGAGACGTTTCGATAACAAACCAACGACTGAGACATGATTTCCCTGAATAGTGTCTTCACTTCAGAGTATACATGTATTCTTCACAAAGCTTTGAATTAACAACAAAACATTTCACACACCTCATAATTCTGCCAACAATCTGCCCTTTATAGATTATTTTAATTATAAAATGTGAAACATGCGTCTGATGGATGGATCATAAAACACATCGCGTGTGAAAATCATCTGATACAGTACAGTGTGCCAAATGTTATATGGTTGTTATATTCATTTATTGTATTATTTGAGATTGCCTTCTAAAAAACTAACAAATTCTATTGATCGACACACACCACACACTGCATGCCTCAGTTTACACATATTTGACACACCTATATTGCATACATAACTCGGATGAACCCTCTTTCTCCTCTGCTTTCTCTCAGATCGCAGGCAGCTATTCTAATATTCTAACCTTGTTTGAGGGAGTCAAGGTTTAGCAGATGATAAGCTTCTCCTGTGTGATTGTTTACGGGCTTTCCACAAAGGCGGGGTCATCCTCCCTCTAGGACTAGAGGGAGGATGACCCCGCCTTTGTGTAAAGCCCGTCTGATTACCTAGAGTCTAGGTAATCAGCCTTTTAATGCGTAATTCCATTCAGGCCTGTTTAATGGGGACGATTATGCCGTAATGGCTCCTACTATTTGTCGGTTTGGCACAGCATCAGATATACCATTTCCCTCGTGATGGAAACCTTTCTCCCCTCTCTCTCTTGGAAGACAAGAGAAATGCTCTGATTTTTCAAGCCGTACGCTTTCGAATATCTGACATCGTATTTGCACACTCAAATCTCTCCGCTCAGTCATAACGTGAAGCCTGGCGAAGACCCTGTCAACGGGCTGTTTTACGCAGTATCTCTCGGCTGTCAGCCATCTCGACAGCTCGTGTCTGACGCTTGTTTCCTGAGTTAAGGTATAGAATATACTTAAATGACTCCCACACGCTCTCTTTCTCACATCCACACTAACCCACTGGTGCACCGCTCTTATATGCTCCACCTACAGCTCAGCTGTCAGCTGCAGATCTCATTTGGGGTTTTGTTGATAGAAGGAATGGTTCCCCCGCTGCTGAAAAACAAAGCAGGCAGATGTGAACTTACGCTCTCAGATCAATAGTGCAACACCAGAGGCCTCTTTCTTGTTTGTACCTTGTTCTAAATTGCTCGATCTATAGTGGGCAAAAGTTGTTGGAGGTGATTTCTACAGAAAGAAGAGGGTTATAAAATAGTGAGGTGGTGACATTCTCTGGAGCCCCCTGAGCAATGCAACTAAAGAAGAACAAATCAAAGGATGTCTTCAGTGTTTTCCTCTGAAACTAGCAAACTCTGATGCTTGAAAAAACTAATAAGATTAAAGGACAACTTCTTCCAGAAAATCCTCCTCCAGACCTTGCATATGAGCTGCTGTACGTCACATGTAATTCATGCTTGTTTATTTATGTATTGATGCGCTCGACAGGTGAAGATGACAGCCTCGCCCTTAAGAAGAAAGTGACTATCGAGGATGTTTTTGGTCCAGACCTTCAAATCCACGACCCAGACGCCAGGTGGCTCAGCGGTGAGTGAACAGTGTGACATTCAGCATCCGTCTCACGTGTCAAAACGCAGAACATATCCAGACACATTATGATAGGCATTTTTATTTTCCTTAACTCCAAATGTACCATCTGCATTTGAATCAGACCCACAGTTATGATTTGTCCATATACTGTAGATATAGAAGCTGTTTCTTGTGTGTTGAGCACATAAGGGAAGCCCAACTCCAACATACATTCAAATCAAGCACATGATGCCACTTCATCTTATAGTATAGGAAACTAATAAGGGATTCTTAGGACTTTAGTTGCACAGTTGAGAACATGAATCCTTCCTCTGGCATTCAGGTTGGCAGATTTAAAACATCCAGAAGCAAATTGGGAGTGAATGAATCAGCTTATGGTCATATCATTTAGTAACTTTCTTCTCATTTGAGAGAATGAAAGACATTCTTAGTCAATAAACCAACGATCTAGCATAAAGTAGCATTAATAGGAACAATTAGGAGAGTCGTGATAAACATCGGGTAGTTAAGCTTTAAAGTTTCTTAGAGGAATCAAATATCTACCTTGAGGGCAGTTTGCAGATCAAACCACTGAAACTACGTTAGATGTTAACAGACGGGAGATATAAGGAGAAGCAGTTATTGCAGTAACAAGATTTAAATGGGAAAAGAGTTGTGAGGTAGTTTGGACGCTATAACACTGGAGCTTTATGGATACAAATCAGCAATAAAATATCAAATTCACTTTCTTCAGTCTCACGGAAACCACATTAACAATCGTTTCTCTGCAGGCAAGCCATACAACCTACCTGTTTTTATAGCTACCGGTATGTACCTGCATGTGAGTATAGGATTCTTTGACGTAGGTAAAATAATTGTTTACATACGTTTCTATCAATATAGTCCATTAAAGCTCTCTCTGTTTCCATGGCAAACATATGCAGCGAGTTCAAGCTCATTTTGTACAAACTACAAATTCAGCATGTGATGCACTACTGGTTCAGTAATAAGGAATTCATAAAAACAGATGTACAGTAGAGCAGGTCTGCTGTGACCTCTGTGACCTTCACACTAGCTGCCATCTGTGCTCAGAAACGCTGGATCAGATGACTTGTGCCCTCTGGTGTTCGACAGGAAAAGTATCTGAAATATATGTTTTTATTTGGCTCTCCATGATGAACTGAATCACTGCTACTGTCAATGTCATTTTGCACTATGGTGAAACAGAGGCATTCTGTGTTGGTAGTACAACTTCTTCTTCTACTACAAATGAATTACACTTTGTATTACAGGTAACGTCACCCATTCATGTTTTATCTTAATCTGTTAGTTTCTAAAGAATTGAAATAACCCCATATTTTCAAAATGTCTGGTTGTCACCTGAATAAGAAACAGGGATCACTGAAGCGGTTACATACACATATCATGAGTATTGTGTAGTAATGTGTATAAAAAGGTCTTTTAACATCTGGATCTGGTTTTGGGTTCCAGGCAGATGTTGTTGACCAATCCCTTTTATTTAATTGATAATCTTTTGAGTTATGATATTTTTTATTTAACAGAGAGATCTTAGCCCAAGGGCCACATGATAGCTTTTTCGATTAGCTTCAAACTACATGGAGTTCCCTTAGAGAAAACTGAGCCAATCAAAGCTCCAGAAAGAGCTAATAATTGTATCTTAATACTATTCAGGATTTCTACTCAATGTAGATGTTGCACCTGACAATAATCATTTTCAAATAACTTTGTTTATATAGCACCTTTTCAAAAACGACCGTTACAAAGAGCCTTACAAAGCAACAGCTGGGCATTTGAAATCGACCTATGTATTAGATATAGGACATTAAAATAATAGTAATCTTCTTGTTCAATGCAAACAAGACATTATTTTGTAATCCTTATTCGTTTCCCTTGAAGTACTAAACATAGACCAAGGTAATAGTGGATTAAAGAGCTTTGAAGTAGTTGTTGTAAAGAACTAAAGGTATTGTGATCATTAGAATTAGTTGCCACTATAAAACGTTTTTGTTTTGTTAGAACACAAATCACTTGAAAGAAAGCAACAGCAGCCGTGTGTAGACACAGTGTATCCATCAATGCACCAGCTGACTTGCATATAGGAATAACATTGTGCAGTTGTTTCTACTAGTGACTTCCCATCACACCTGCACACATGCAACCTCACATCTGTATGCATACATGTGAATGAGAGACACATGATGACCTTACATCCGTCCTTTTTTTGCACTGTGCCGACTCTCTCCCTGATTACTTACATTAGCGGCTCATTAACGCATAATTACTTAAGTTCTGTGTCTCCGTGTCCTTCATTCACGAGCGAAATTAAAACGTCCTCAGCACCTGACGAAACTCCGGCAATCAATTGTTTGACATTGCCTCTTGTCAGCTAACTTAATGCAATCAACACCCATTTGCTGCTAATGACCTTCTGATAAGAAACCCAATGGGACAAGCTCACACTTCAGTAGCCCTCATCAATATTTTGTGGGCTTCTTTCACAGGAGTGCGTAATTGATCCTCGTTGCTCTTTGATCACCGCTTGCCTCAGTAGTCTTTGGACTCACCTCGGAGTTTCTCACACAGAGTCAGAGCCAAAGACAAAGGATATCAACTTTTAGACTCTTCTCTGAAACAACGGACTGCTGCTGTCTCTCATTTATATAACAGAAACACACTAATATAATGTCCAACTATGAAAACATCTACATTTAAGAAACTAAAGCCCCATTTTTGACAACAGAGTTACCATTACCATCAAATTAAATGGATCTTCCGTCAGTACAGTTCCCATAATGAACTGACGTTTTCTCTTTTGGGTCCCTCTTCACTAAGTTTTAGCAATACAATGAAACAGAGCAAACTGTGCAGCTCTGCAAGTTAAACATTTCCACTGTCACAAAAAGATGTGACAGGAATGATGAGGAGAACGCTAGAAAAGAGGGATTTGTTCCACCTTAGCACGTCCTTCAAACAATTGGAAAATGTGCACATTAGAGTTAAATCTTTGAAACAACTGGCTTTGTATCGCAAAGGTAACCAGAGGAAGAAAGTCTGGCATTTTAATGAGGAGACTTTTCTTCAGAGTAGCACAGCGGCAGCATACCAGTCTTTGGAGCCTGGACACATCACACACTCACTTCCTGTTTAGAAGGATAAATAGATACGTAGATACTCTCTTTGTCCCTGTGGGGAAATAGGTTTGCAGCACAAACACAAAGCATCTCAACTTCTCAGAAGTCACCACTAGACATACTCCCACACATACCCATACTTTGCACTTTGCTACAAATGAGCTGTAGGAAAATAAAAGTTAGAATGGACCAGAGCAGCTCCACACCCTTTTTGACCATGAAGGCCAGGAGCATGGAGCATAGGGGGCAATAAACTAGACATTATTGCTAAAACAGTCCAGATTGAACTTGAGTTCATCAGCTGGACAGAAACACGACTCAAAATGGATCTGCTGTCTAATGGATGTGTCAATAAGCAACTGTTCCCTGGATCAATAAATAAGTCATGTGTTGTTTTACTACCCGAGAGTGGGACACAAATGTGTTGATGTTTAATCAAATCCAGTGTGAAGAGGAATAACCAAGCCACATTAGTTATTGTCCAACAATAAATCAAGGCCTGTCCTTAGAAATCAGACATCCAAAAGGTTATAACCATATGCAAAAATAAATAGTATTATAAAAGTAAACATTTAATTATACATAACCCAAAAATAATACTTTTGTATCATATAAAAAATGAATAATAGGGTAACAACTTTAAAAATGGTTAGTTACTGCAGGTTTAATAGCAATATTGCTTACTCAAGACAATCGATAAAGGTTGAGAAGGAGGATACACACTTAATCATTTGCTTAGGTATTCAACCTTCGACACAGTTAATCATTTTCTCGTATCACTGTCTCCTTTTCCATGGCATAGATCTACGGCCTTGGGTATTGCTGCTATCTCTCTTTAGGAGGGGCAGCTTGGGCGCATTGTGCTTGCCAGTCTATGACAGAGCACAAGCCGCCATGAGGTAGTTTACTGTTCAGAGACGAAGGTTCCCTGGCGCACATTCTTTTCTATGGACGAGAGCTCTAGTTGGATTCATGGTCCATATTGCTTTAGTCTCACTGATGAAGAATGTTGATTATTACACTCCGAACTAGTTAAAACCTCGAGCTACAGAAAGAGTTCTTCAGAATTGGTTTGGCAACCGCTGTGTCAACTCGTGACACACCACCTGTCTTGTCAATTCTCCGACCGTAACTCTAAATAAACCACCAGTGTTTGCCATCAAAGCTCCAGCTCTCCTCGTGCCTCTCTGAGTCCTGTTTCCAATTGCTACAGAAGTTTCCCCCACACCTCCCTGATTGGTTGATTTGACTTTTGCCATTACAGACAACGAGCTGCTGTATCGTACAAGGGAAGGAGATGTTGTGAAGCTGAATGTTCACACAGAGGAGAGAACGGTCGTCGTGCTGAACCAGTTGTTTGTGAGTATCCTCTAACTCCGTCTTCAAGAGTAGTAAGTGGACTCTCTCCTGCTGCTGTGGTGGGTGTTTCACTCACTACAATTTGTATTTTCTCCATGCAGGACAGATCCAGAGCCGCAAGGTACCAGGTGTCTCCTGACATGCAACACGTGTTGTTCGCCTTTGAGGTGAAGCCGGTAAGAAACACTGAGAGTGATACCTGGAAACATTTCATTTTGTCCTTCAATTAGCTGTTTTTGTAAATATCTGTTGGAGTGATATGAAATGCAGCAAAACAAAGCAAATACATAGTTTGTGTGCAGCAAAAACTAAATACAATAACACAATTGGCAAACATGAAATGAATGACCCCAAAAGGTTTTTCTTTCGAACAATTCACACAATGTTGAAATGTTTTTGAATATTTTTCATAATCTAATGGGAAAGAAGATCAACACATTTGTAATACAGGTTTGGCTGTCATTTCAATACTTGTATTTCCAGTCTCAAATGAATTTGACAATGGACTATTTAACATTTGTAGAAATTCGACATAGTGCATGTTTTCACTTTCTAGAGCAGGATGGTTTGGATTTTGTTCATGCATTTGGGGATAAGCCGTATATCTCGCAATGTAGAAAACAGATGAACTATAAACGTTGGAGCTGAAATGTCTGCTGCAGATGTCAGCTCTCTTAATGATGTTTGTCTTTGCAGATCTACCAACACTCCTATCTGGCCAAGTACATTATTTACAGCCTTGTGACACAGTAAGAACCACTTATGTTGTATCTCTTGAATTGTCTGTTGCTTTTATCCTTTTACTGTCTGTATAGCAGATGTGTGACTTGACTCAGACTGAAACCACAGATTTGAATATTCTAAATTTCTTTAGATACAATAATTACTGCGACTTATAATAAAGCAAAAGTGTTTTTGATATGTTTGGACCCTGTACTTAAATATATTCATAGGATCTGATGACTAGTACGTTTTCTCCAGTCTAAAGCACCTTGCTGTGGAGATTCACAAAAAACGGTGCTTATTGATATTACCCATGATATGGGTCAAAAATGGCATTACATTTGGTGAAAAAGGCTTTATATCTTTGAACTAAAAAGTCTTGATTTGGGAATCGCAAAACAATGATTTGGTCCGCCCTGTGTCTGTATGCCTCTCAGATCTGCGACTGGACGCTAATCTGCCCTCAGCCTGACCTCCTGTTGACAGTTCACTGCCCTCAGTCCCCTTTACCTGTTTCTCTGACTTTGTGTGAACGCATTAAAGCTCAATTTAGTTTTGTGCGCCGTGTTCAGCCTGCCTGTTTTTAGCCTCTCATCCATCCTTGTCTGCTTATTGCCCCACTGTTCTGTATTTGTAGTGAGCCAAGCAAAGTCAGCTTGTGCTAAAAAAAGGATATGGATGATTGATGAAGCCTACATTGAGAGAACAATCCCAAAAAACACACACGACTTCCTTCCTCTGACTGTGCATTCGTGTTCAGATGCATACTGTATTGTGCATGTAGCGCAAAAACAGACAAATATGTTATTGTTTTTTTAATGTCTTGCCTCCACAGGGAGACTTGGCCTTTGAAGCCCCCCGAAGTGCACGAAGCTGTCCTGCAGTTTGCCGGATGGGGACCCCGAGGCGAGCAGCTGGTAAGGAGGCCGTGCCCCCGAGATTACTCTGTGAATACTGGCACGCTGGTGGAGATCTGTCAGAATTACCCTGGCATCGCAGACGGGGCACACAAGTGATTTATGGTTTTTCACAATTGAACAGACAATTGTCGTGGCGATAAGAGGTTTATGTGCACTGTAATGACCACTTTAAGGATTTCCAGGCTGAGCTCTCCTTGCTTTGACCTCCATCAATGTCACCGTGAAGCAAATGTCCTTTTTACTTTCATAACTTGGAGACAACACATGAGCTGGTGAGAGCCACAGTGGCAGATGGCCTCGGTGTGGCTCAACCAGGCCTTGGACAGTCTGGGGTTGCTGGTGGGGGGAGCACACTCACATGGCACAAACTAGAGTGTGTGTGTGTGTGTGTGTGTGTGTGTGTGTGTGTGTGTGTGTGTGTGTGTGTGTGTGTGTGTGTGTGTGTGTGTGTGTGTGTGTGTGTGTGTGGTGTGTGTGTGTGTGTGTGTGTGTGTGTGTGTGTGTGTGTGTGTGTGTGTGTGTGTGTGTGTGTGGTGTGTGTGTGTGTGTGTGTGTGTGTGTGTGTGTGTGTGTGTGTGTTGGTTTGGAACCATCTACATTTGGTTGACAGATTTAGTGAAATGCACCATTTGATTGGTGTCTTCAATTTGGTTTTATTGCAGTTCTTATTCGCATCTCAATCATTCGTGTTCTGCGCTGTTCATATGATGTGTTCAGTGCTGAACTACTTATATAATCAAGTTTTCTAAACTAGTCGCCAGAAGTCCTTGGATTATAAAACATCTTTAACCAAAGGGGGAATGTTTGTATTTGTATTTACTTTCATTTCTGACCGCATTCATAACAAGGAATAACCCGAATGGTTCAAACTCATATCAATTGAATAGTAGCAGCAGTACATTGTTCATGAATTCAATGAAGTCTTAATTAACTTTATATTAATGTGTGATTCTCCTGACCATGTAAAGTAGAATCGGTATATTGATATGTCCTCTGAGACACACATTAACCCATTTTCAAATAAATACATGTTCAGTGGAAGTCATTTGGCTTGGAGTGCCTCAGATCAGGAAGAGATAAAGTAATGTGAGAAAACTAATAGGTTGTTAGTCTCTTAGTCTTTTCATGCAATTCGTTGACAGTAAGAAAAACATGGAAGATGAATCCTTTGATGAGCTTACAAGTGCCATTGACCCAGGCACCTGCTTATCCCTTGTGTTGTTTCCTCTCCTGCTGCCTACGTCGTTTTTTACCCTGTTGAATTCAAATGAGTTTCTGTTTGGATTGCAGGGCTTAGACAACAGACAGCCCCATGTTTCATCAGCTATTACCTGGAAGCCTTCTCTCACTCCATAATTGCTCTTATCGTATCATTTGCTTAAATGACAGATACATTGCTGCGAGAAAAATATTCACATTTCAAGTGTGGGATGAGACTTTGTCTGCTGAGGGAAGAAAGCAGAGTAATTTGCGATGGTGATAGTACACCTGATTGTTTCTCTGCCGTGCTGCTACTGCAGCTCCGCGGTTCGTTTAATGAACAGCTGGGGTCATGCGAGAGAAATGAGATGAGTTCTCGTCTTTTGTTTTTAGTCTGACCTGGCAACATTGGAGACGTTTCCTTTTTTTTCTCTCTACACTATCTCTAAAATGATTTCCTAGGTTTATTCGACTTGGAGTCATTTATAATCAGGTGAGTGCTTCATCAGCACATAAAGGCGTGTTTGTGGCAGTAATGCTGTGTGCAGTGAAGCATCAGATGTACAGTGAGAGGAGATGAATCCTGCGACACTCGCCTCATTAAGCTGCCAGCAATTACTCCACCGTGACAGAGCAATCAGTGAGGCTGGGTCAACACACACACACACACACACACACACACACACACACACACACACACACACACACACACACACACACACACACACACACACACACACACACACAAAGGTAACATTACCCGAAGGAAAAGGGGTGAAACAAGGAAGTGGATTTAGAAGAAAAATGAAGCCAAATGAAAATGCCACTTGAAAAATTGCGATATTTCACAACTGAAAACACACGCTCCCACACAAAGAGAAACCCTGCTTTGTGAGCTTCACAGGTATCTTTGATGTTGCTACTTTCATCTCGCCCCCCTTGAATATTGAAAAGGCATTGAATGAGTTCAGAGTTGCCCTTTGCTTTTCAGAGTGCATAATTTACGACTAAACGCTATAACGGGTCCTGCCTTTAACATGGAGACAAGACCCTTCTCTTTTAATCATTTGGTGCTAATAATGTGAAGTTTAATCAAGGTTTTGAGGCAGCTTTGTTGAAGACATAATTATTGATAATGAAAACACTCAGTTTTTGGGTGTAACTTATTGAAAGCTGCCTTTGACTTCCATTACTTCCTGTCTGCTTTTGTTGCATTTGCCAACGACCAGCTTCCTTTGCTTTACACAGCGCTGCATTCATCTGTTTTTCTCAGATGTCGATCCCACAATATACAACTTTGATTTTCTCCACAGCAGCCATAGATCAGAGCCAAAGCAGCCATGTTTTTCTCTTTTTTTGATTCTTGTGCCGTTGATGAGGCTTACATTTATCTGGAGAGGTTTCGGCTGACAGCCCAGCCACACCAACACGGCCTGTCCTTCAGATAACAATCCATCCCACATTCATCTCCCTCATGCTGGCACCAGGTGAAGCAGTGTAAACACTGGAGGGGATTGACAGAGGAAGTGTCACGTACTTATCTGCTAGCAGTGTGTCTTAATTTCTGCAAGCGATGCCATCGTTGCGGCTTAAATCAGAGGCCTAACCCGCGGCTTAGATCCGCTGTCGCCCACCCTGAGGAGACAGCATGATGTCTCAATAAACACAGGGGCCAAAATGTGTGTGTGTGTGTGTGCCAGTAGGGCATCTTTCATACTGCGCTTGAGAGGAATCCTTCTCCAGCAGTAATGAGGCAAATATCCCTTAATACAACGCTTAAGGCAGGTGTTGTCTGAGACTGTATTAGCCTGTAAGTGTCATTGAGTGGGTGTTTATCTGGATTAAGATAAAGTCATTATGTGGGTTTAGGGTAAAGGCTCTTACTGTGTTATGGACAGAGAATTGTGAGACGCAGAGGCTGAGAGAATTGTAGGTTACAGAAGTACAGATAATGATTTTTCATACAGTGAAACAGAGACTAATGTTGGTCCTTCTTTTTGCTTCTCCTTGTCCAGATCTTCATATTTGAAAACAATATCTTCTACAGATCAACAATAGATAACCGAGCCATCCGCCTGGTTTCCACGGGTAAAGAGGGAGTCGTCTTCAACGGCCTTACTGACTGGCTGTACGAGGGTAAGACAACGACAAACTCCAAAAAACACTGCAAAGCCCATCATTTATATCACATCAATCTTTACGTGTTGCAAAAAATTGACTTTCATCAAAGTTTGAATACACAGTAGGAATTTCTGTCACTTTCTGAATTGACAGAACTAAAGTTAGTCTAAAAGTACATTTCATTGCCAAAGGTACAAGGACAGCTGAGCACCAAACTTGCATGTGATCATTGAACATGTCTAATCAAAACCCTGGGCATTATCTAGCTGTTGCATCACTCTTCACCCTGGTAAGTCTTTCATCAGGATTTTGGAGCGTGAAATTGACTTTTGGAGGTTGGATTTTCGATGATTTGTCCTGGCTTGTATTCGTTATTCCAAATAAGGTGAGGTGAACATTTGAAATCACAATATTATCTGAAACATCGTTTTTAATACAGTAGCTGCATTACTATACTGATATATTATCTACCCTTAAGGTGATATGGCATATATCTTAGCATTAGCATCAATTTGGAGTCGTTTCACAAGTCTATTATTAACTCTGTTGCTACAATTTGATTGTGGTTTTCTGAGGGAAATACCTGGTGCTTTAGATGTTGAATGCTCCGCTATGTTCAGCAGTCGCTAGCTTTGCTGTTTGGTGCTTGATCTGAAAGGAAATTCAGAATAAGGGGATGATTTCATTGTGGATTTGTAAAGCAGCCATTTTGAATATACTGTACATGTGTGCAATACAGATATTTATTCCAGGCTCTTTAATGGATCAGCCTTTGGTCTGGTGTGTCCACCTGCATTAGCACATATGCTGTATTTAGCCAACTACATTTAGAAACACATTTGGATTCAGTGTTGTGACACCTGCCCCCCACCCGGAGGCGTGTTGTGAGTTTTCTGTTCATGATTCAATTTGAAAGAGCACAGCTGGCTACGTTTGAGCGCCCCTCCCTCTCTAGACTTCCCGTAGCTTGTCTTTGTGTTATGGCAGTTTTAATTAATTCATGTCTGCGGCGCTGCAATCTCAATAAGCAGATGTTCAAAAGCTGGCAAACTTGTAAATTAATATGAGACGTTTTCTGATTACTGCATATGTGAAACTGACATTGCAATTACATACCACTCGAATATGGCTTTGTTCACACACACGCTGCCATGTTTCAGACGATTCCTCTCACTGTGCAGTCATTTATTAAGTGCATAGATTTCTTATTTAGTAAGTGAGGACTTATTTTTCTGGCACTATTGAAATTACTATAATAAGGATTGCAGTATAGTTGTATAATGTAATTGCAAAATGCCCATTATATTGAGGGAAACTCTGCATGAGCTGCTTCAGGGTCGACTCTAATAGGGTTTTTCATTAATGGGATTATTTAATTGTTGTGGGCACATAACACGACATGAATGTTGTTGTGTTTCATGGATTCGTCAGGGTTTTAATAGACTGCCTCACAAAAGCTGAAATGACACAGGTCGGTGTAATGTTTTACAGATACTATATTCAGCTGAGATACAGTAGGTTTGTCTGAAAAAGGGTTCAAGGTGAGGCTTCCTCTTCTCTCCGGTACCTCTGCAGTCAGAGTTCCTTAACCTTGACTGAAATAATGTACTTGCTTATAACCCCTTGAGCTTAAAAAACTCTAAATTGAATTCCTTTAAATGTCCACATAATGGCATAAAACCTTTACATGTGACAGAAAGGGACTTTTATTCATGAATGAGCTTTTTTCTTAGTTCACTAAAGGAACAGCGTACTGTGCAGATTTTTTTAAGGTTTGAACAATGCTGATAAGAATACATATCAGTGAGTCTTTGATAAAATGTAATTAGTCAGAGAAACGCATCAACGTGTGTGAGCTCTAACTTTGATCAGCAGATTAAAGACAGGGAAGTCATTATAAAGTTGGGAGGATTTTTGATGTTTCCTGTAGAGCAGTAGGTTGGGGGGATTGAGGAGATGAAAGAAATATACTTTAATAAAAAAGCAACATGGTAGTTCATGTGTATACTACTTATCTATTTGGGTTTCAGTCTGTGTGTGTATCTCCCCAGCTGATGGATGTTAAGACAGCTGTGTGTTATCATGCACAGAAGACTGTGGCACCCAACACTGACAGTGTCCGAGTGAATGAAACACACAATCATGCCATGTTTTTGTGGCACTGTACATTTTGTTACAGGAAATATTCATATTTTTGTCTTTTATGGAGTGCAGATTGAATCCTTTGGTTGAGGTAAATGTCCAAAAAGGCACTATCTTTGTAAGAGCAGCTTGCCAGGACATTTATTAAGTGCTCTGACCTTCATCAAATAATGGATTAAATAAATGATATGTTGTGCTGGGTTCCAGAGAACATTTTGTTGGCAAATGTTTTTCGGCACAGGCCTTGAATATCCTGATGCACTCAAACAAATAGTCACCCTTAGAGTAAGAATGGGGGGAAAAAAGGTGTAGAAATACCTCCCTGAATAGTGTCCTTCTCGCTGTCTGACCTTGTTACAAAAGACTTTCCATTTGTAATATGAAAACAAATATAGCCTCAGACATCAATGATAACAAAATGATAAACTCTATTGATGTTGAGCTGATCCTTTTTGCCAAGAAAAGACTGTTTTTTTAATCTCCACATGTAGGTACAGTAGTTTGTACTGCAAGTGCTTTTCATAGAGCACTACTGCCCCCTGCTGGATGAAAACCACTCATCAGGAAGCTGCTGAAACGTATTAGGGAGGCTCAACAAAATAATATGATTTCTCTTGTGAGGAGAGAACCCCTATTTTTGTCTTGGTTTCTTCCATAATGTCAGCTCCCTCAGATAAGTTGTCAATTAATCAAAGCCCACTCACAAGGAACATTTCACGGCAGTTTTCAATACTGTAAAAAATGGCAATGCGAGAAAAAAAAAACATGTTTTCCCACACATGGTAAACAACGGAATTTGCTTTGCTCCAAAATAAGAAAGAAAATGTAATCCTCGACTATTGTAGTATAATGTTTTACAATGATTAATATTCACTTTCAGTAGCAGATTCCCAGGCATCAACTCTACATTAAAATGGTGTAGATACTGCAATGCACTTTTCTGGTTTCTGTAGTTGAAACTGTCAAAAATGTAATATGAGTAATTGGTTTATTCTTCCTCAGCCATAAACATAAATCATCTGTGATGTTTGTATAATTCAACTAGTGTCTGTTTAAACGGTATCCTATTGGAAATGTCTTCATCAATGTCAGAGAGTAAGGAGTTCATAAACACCAGCTAACATAGCCGCTAATTGAGCTGCACACACTTTATATGTAAAACATTGCATTTTATTGAGATGTAGTGTTGCCTTTGTTGTTGTTTGTTGACCGTTGTGTAAGGACGTTCAAATAATGAAATTGATTTTTACATGGATTCGACTTTTCAGCCTGGTCTTATGAAAACATCCTTTGATTTTGTTCAACATCTCACTTGTTTTATGGATCTCATTTTAATGGATGCCTCACAGTGTGTGTCTGATCTGGTTGTTGTGTGTTACAGAGGAGATCCTGCAGACACACATCGCCCACTGGTGGTCTCCGGACGGGCTGCGCCTGGCCTACATGACCATCAACGACACGCTGGTGCCAAAGATGGAAGTTCCCTTCTTCACAGGATCGCCGTACCCCGCCACCTTGGAGTATCACTACCCCAAGGCAGGTCTACAGCCTCCATCTCACACTCATTCTTAGTCTGAGCAAATTCAAAGCAGCTATAAACAATGTCTTCTGCTCAATTAAAAAGATTTTCACTTATGATTTTTATGGGTTTCTTAAAAATGTCACTAAGGGCAGTGAAATGCATTTTTCTGAAAAATAATCCATAAAGAATACATTTAAATGTAATTGAAATTAAATAAACAAAGACACAAAAAATAACTTTAAAATAGCAGATGCCAATAAAATAAGAAAAACACAACAACTACATAATATTAACTACCGGTATTATATCAAGTGTGTTTTAACAGCTGACAGAGTTTTTTAGATATCACTGGTTGATTGTATTTGAGAGAAGATGGTAGTCACCTCTGGGACCTGAATGTATGCTAATAACTACACTATACCCTCACTGAGGCTGATGGATGTGTACATTAGCCACTGTATGCTAACATCACCATATCAATAGACAAGGTGAAGATACGTGTGCACAACTGGTTTCCGTTGTCAGAAGCCAAAGATCCCTAATTGGAGCTTTAAATATTCACTTCCTTGTTGTTATGCATAAGGGACTTTGATAGATAGAACTTGTTTAACTCTGAAGACGACGGAAAGACAATTCATCACTGTCTTGAAGTGAAATCCAGTCTGACCTATCTGGTTTCCTGTTGGCCTGCAGGCTGGGGAGGAGAACCCTGTGGTGCACCTGTCAGTGGTGAGCCTCAACGGGCCCCTGCACACCGTGGTGATGAAGAAACCTGATGACCCCCGCATCGGGTGAGTGGCAGCACAACCCTTCCTCATTGTGTCTGAGGTAACAAGCAACAAAAATAGTCCTGGAGCATTTTCCTAAAGGGGGTAGTTCATCATCAAACTCCAAACATGAGTTTTCCTTTACCTGGAGGGCTATTTAGTGTCTCTGGAATATAATGGAACTACTGTATGTGGCCGTTAATATGGAGAGAAGTTATCATTAGTAATTTATTTTTACTTTATTGTCTGTTATTTAATTAGCTATTTGTGGATCAGTTCATAGAATGAGTTGTCAATCAAACTGTGTTATCAATACTATGTGACTCCAAATAAAGAATTCAAAGAAAGTAGACACCTCTACGGTCGTTATCTCTGCCACTTACACCAAAACAATCTAGATTGATAAATAGCAATACAGGTAAAAGGATAAATATGTATTTTTGATTCTGGGTTAAACTGCCCATTTAAAGGTCATCCATTATGCAAAATCCACTTTTCCATGTCTCTTCTACATCAACATGTGTCCCCTCTGTGTGAAGAGATTCTGAAAGTTTCAGGAAAAAAGATTCTCTCTCTTTTTGTCCTGATCCATTTCTATAAAAACCTGTCTGAAAATGAGCTGATCAGATTTTGGCCACTTTATGATGTCATGACGATTTTTTTGGCTTGTGTAACCATTAGCCAATCACCAACCAAGGTAACCCCTCCCCCCACCTTATCACCTGAATCTCCTCCTAGAGCACCATTTTGTTTTTTTTAACCAAATATCTCCCAGAGGGACGTGGGGAGTAGCTCCTTATTTGATCTGAGACCTATAATATATTGATGAAAAACAGTATAATAGGGGACCTTTAGGGAAGCTAAGACAGAGGTCGTCAGCGCCGGACATGCATTCTCACTTTCTTGTTTTCCAGGAGGGAGTATTATATCACCATGGTGAAATGGGCCACCAGCACTAAACTGGCTGTCAACTGGCTGAACAGAGGCCAGAACAACTCCATCCTGACTCTGTGTGAGGCTACCACTGGAGTCTGCATTAAGGTGAAGCCTCCTGCAAAGTGTCCTTGACAAAGTGTGAAATCAGCCAACTAACAGCCGTGTGTAGCTAGAGCTTGACGTGGCTTATTCCTTTGTACCCAGACATCTATTGTTGCCCAAAAACACCTGCATGAGAAACAACACTGCTCTGTTTGACATGTTCCTTTCATTACGGTGAACACGCGGTTTATTTCGAGTCAATCCCATAAACACCGTTCTGCTGCTGCTCGTGCACCAAAATCACAGAAAATAATCCCTAACAAATTTGCTTTCTAGTCCTTCTTTGTTAACGTTTTCTAAAGATTACTGTTCCCAGCGGTTTTTGAAAATGATTTAACTTTTCTTTTTTTAACTGAAGTGTAAATTCTGTTTTTATTATGAATTGTTCATCATTTTAGGGAAATACTTCTCTCCGTTTAATGTTGAAAAAACTCTTTTTTTGCCGTGTATTTCTCAAAATATCATACTTTTGATTCATCTTATCTTCCATAAGAGGGACCGGTCTTAAGGCTGAGTACATTAACATAACAATATCTGTAATTCGTATGTAATTTGGATTCAGGAAAATGCCATCATCTTCAATTATACTCTTGTTGCTTTGTTTGTTATACAGAAACATGAGGATGAGAGTGAGAGCTGGTTGCACAGACAGGTGCGTGATGGGAACATTGTTCCTCTGTGGTCGTGTGTAGTTTTTACTTTGTGTGTCTGAGCTTGTAAACAAGAAATGCAAAAGCCCAGCAGGCATGTTTTGGGACACATACAGATGTTTTTCCACCCTCTCTGCAGAATGAAGCTCCGCTCTTCTCCCACGACGGACACAAATTCTTCTTCACCAGAGCAATCCCTCAGGGTGGGAGAGGAAAGTTCTTCCACATCTCTATGTCCACCACTATGGTAATGAAAGACCCTTATATTATCTGTGTTGAAGGTTTGGTACAGTGTGTTTAACGGCCCTTCACTGTCTTCTAGTCGAACACGAGCACAGACATCCTTCAGTCTCTGACCTCCGGAGACTGGGACGTCACCAGCATCCTGGCCTACAATCATGAAAGGAACCTCATGTAAGACATTCAGATGTGTTTTAAACCGCCGGTATCGTGTCGTGGTTTTTCTGTTATTTGATGCTCATGTTCTGATGTGTTCCAGATACTTCCTAAGCACAGAAGACGACCCCAAACGACGGCACTTGTACAGGTCAGATTTTCTTACAGCTTGTGAGTGCTTCTGTGTTTTTCTCCAAGTGCTGTTAATGATACTCACTCAGTGCCATCCCACAGCGCCGACACGATCCCTCCGTTCAACCGCTGCTGCCTGTCCTGTGAGTCCAATTGCGGCTATGTGGACGTTTCATTCAGCCACAACATGCGGTACTTCTTACTCAACTGTAAAGGTGAGCATCCTTGACCTTGAATCTCTTGAGTGAAAACTATTTTGCTTACTGCAGTCTGAGAGCCTTTTACACTGCAGCACTCCTGAGGATGAGAGTCTGCAGAGAGCCATACTCAGTAAAAGGCGTAACTGAATCAAGGCTCCTCGTCAGGTTGAGAGCTTGTATCGAGCTAGACATTAGCAGATAAAACCAAACCACTGCGGGATCCCTCTGATCAGCCACAGAGCGAAATGTATTGTCTGTCTGCATGCCAACAGTCATGCTGACAGTGTCCTTCTTACTATTTGTCATATAAAAATAGACTTTGTTATTGTTTTCTAGATATTCCTTGGAGGTACACTGTCATTATTTTTAGGTTTTCTGCCCTTGTGGCTTCATCGCAGGGGCACAACATTACCATTTTTATGGAAGCTGATTTGTTCAGGAGGCTAACTCCCAAAAGTGCCAGTGGCTTTCTTTATTAATTGGATCTTTGGAGAGCAGCTCCATTGTGAAATAATAAGCCATTTCCTCATGGGATGGAAGTAGATTAACTGTTGAAGCTGTTTAACATGAGACAGGGTTTCCGATGCAGGGATTGCAGAAAAGGATTGGGTTTCAGAGGCTTGATTACTTTTGTGACATTTGAGCCTTTTGTTGCATGCAAATGAACTTCTATTACTGTATTCCTGCTAACGGTGTTTCCCTGAATTGTTCCATGTAGGTCCAAATATACCCAGTGTGGCTATCTATAGAACTGAGGATAAACAGAGTGAGTGTTGTCCTCCAACTTCACCACGCACAGCAAACTCTATTGAATTGTATGATTGTTTTGAGTGATGAAAAGATTTGTGAAAGAGAGATTTTAAAAAAGGACATTTTTTAATCCGCAGAGGTGTTTGACGTGGAGACAAACGAGAGAGTAAACGACACGTACAACAACATGCAGATGCCCATAGTGGATAACAAGACCATCACCATAGACGACTACAGTACGTACTCATGTTGAATTAGCGAATACACGATTTACTATGAGTACATCCTGATGAAATAACAGCCACTCATCTTGTATTATAAGATCCGGTAACCGTGTCTTATCTGCTATAGCTCTGACGATGCAGATCCTGAAGCCAGCTGGATTTGTAGAAACAGCCCATTACCCCTTACTGCTGCTAGTGTGAGTATGAGTACGCCTGCTGTTTTATCGCAAAGACATATCAGTGAAACAGTACGAAGAATATTATCAACACTTGAGTGCATTAACTATGATTTACTTTCATTATTGTTCAAAAAGGATACTGCAGCAGTTTAATATTTCACACATTTAAATGTAGGGGAATCACAGGAGTCTTGTTAAGGACAGAATCATTAAAAAATGTGGATATCCATGAGTTTGGGTCAATATCTAAAAAATCTGGATCATACATTTCCCATAATGCTTTAGACACCACAAGACAGTGCAGTGATTCCCGCAGAAATGAAATATACTTTGGGGGAACGACTCGGGTATCTGATCGTTAATCACCGGATAACTTTATTTTAACTATATACAAACTGGTGAAATTTAGGAGCGGGGCTAGTCCTAGTGGGCTACCCAGGCTGAGTGACAAGGTGGCATCCAGGAAACTGAAATGTGCAGGTCACTGCCATCGACACCAGGAACTTCCAGCTGGCAAGTTAGTACTCTGGGAGCCAACACACAGGCACCGACCAAGAGGGCGCCCCACGCCAACATACGTGGAGGTGCTGAGGAAGGATGTGGGGGTGGAAAGCTCCACAGAGCTGGCCGGGTGTATGGAGGACCGTGAGGATTGGCGAACCCGTTGGCAAACTCGTCTAAGGACGACCTAGTAGTAGTAGTCCTTGATTGGCTCAAGTTCACACCTTTTTAGGGGCGGGGCTAGTGATGTTGTCCCGGGGATGCTTAGGAGTTGATAAAGGAGATAATCCCACTGACGTCATCATTTGATTCCAAAAGTGGATCTGGACTCGCGCCCATAGAGGCTGTTTACCAATATAATGGCTCCCCCCAAAGTATAATTTATGGGTGGCTCCCCCCAAAGTATAATTTATGGTTTTTTAAGTTTTTTTTACTCACTGAGCACTCATTGCCACCAATGCAAATGCAAATGAGTGCTCACTGAGTAAACAAAAACAAAAAACACACAAATGATACTTTGGGGGGAGCCATTATACTTTGGGGGACCCCCAAAGTATTAACATGCTGTGGGAATCACTGCAGTGTCATAATATAACATCATTTAATATGAACTAGTATATGCTGGATTAGATTCTTCATTGTGAACATTGTAATGATAAGGTTGTAGTGAATTGGATTCTGTTACTCAGCAAGCTAATTCTTGTATTTCCTTGCAGCTGTTGTGTTCCCTTTAAACCTATTTGTACAATGTTGTGTTAAACAGTACATAGTCACCTTGCTAACTGAATCATGTTGCTAACTGAAGGTCCACCATGTGCTCATTAAATGCTAACATTAGCCAATAATGTCCACCCTGTCAGCACCGTGTATATTTTTGCTGTTTGCATGTACTTTGTCTGCTTGCAGTTCATTTATAAAAAAGTGTGGGAGCTTGACCAACATGCATTGCTAACAGCATAACATCTACTTAATACAATGAATATGAAGTTTAATGGAAAATCTCAGCTTATTTTCTTTGGAAATGGGGAAGTCTCAAATGCACCTTATGGTGATATTGACTAAACCCTCTATTTGTCCGGTTATGAAACCAAGAATACGAAGATCAAATGTGTGTATTCCTTTAAAGATGATTCACATCTCATTTTAATCTCTGAGAAATGTGTCTTACATTAAAATGGCTGACCTGGCTGTGGTGTTGGCACAGGGACGGGACCCCCGGCGGGCAGATGGTGTCGGAGCAGTTCAGGGTGGACTGGGCCTCGGTCCTGGTCAGCAGCTTCAGCACCATCGTCATCCGCTTCGACGGCCACGGCAGCGGCTTCCAGGGAACCAACCTGCTGCACAAAGTCCGGAGGAAACTGGGAATACTGGAGGAGAAAGACCAGATGGAAGCACTGAGGTTCAGACTCCTGCTTTCACTGCAAGCATGACGGAAAACAAAGCCTTTTTGATTCCCGAAACATTGCAAGTTTGACCAGTTTTCTTTCACTTTTAGGTTCATATCCAAAGAGACTTATATTGATAAGAGTCGAATGGGAGTTTATGGAAAGGTAAACACTCACCACAAAGAGGCTCCTGAGAGGCTCACACCGTTATATTATTATCATCCTAACGTATTAATTAATTAGACTTTGTTTCTCCCCTGCCTTTGTTCAGGCTTATGGAGGATATTTGGCCACGTTGCTTCTGAGCTCTGAGGAGTTTACCGAACTTAAGTGCGGAGCAGCAGTCTCCCCCATCACAGATTTCGAGCTTTATGGTATAACTTCCACGTATTCTTCTACCATGAACATGTTAAAGAGATGCTGAACGAATACAAACATTTCCTGACTCTGTTTTCCCTCTTTCTTAAATTGCAGCATCTGCATTCTCAGAACGATACCTCGGCTCAAAGACAGATTCCCAAGTATATACGGTAAGGTGTTATTGTTTCCTTCCCTTATCCAAATCCCACACCCAATTTGTTAAGCTATGAAGTATTAAGGGTCATTATTGAGATGGTTAGTATGATATATATTATATCGTGGGATTTTCTGTCTTTCCTTCAGAAAGCGAGTTTAGCGCACAAAGCGGGCCTGTTCCTGCAGAAGCAGTACTTGATCATTCACCCAACTGCTGACGGTAACTATAACATTTCTCAATAATGCTGTTAGTGAAACTGTTTAACTGTGATCACCACCTAATGTGTTGTCTCATCTCTTCTCTACCTCCACAGAAAAGGTTCACTTCCAGCACACAGCCAAGTTTATCAATCATTTAATCAGCAAGAAGGCCAATTACACTCTACAGGTGAGTTTGTGAGAACCACTGCTAGATTCATCATGTGGTTGCACATAGCACTGCTTTCTTCACAGAGCAAGTGTTGTCACAATAGCCGTGATACAACATAAAATGCTATGACCTTTTTATGATAAACTAAAGGACTTTTTTGTTTAGGCATTTCTCCCCTGAGAAGATAGAAAGATTGACTGGAAAGAGCGAAGGAGGGGTTGCGACATGCGGCGAAGCTGCCTATTGCGCTACCCAGGCGCCATCATATCTCTTTTTAATGCATACTTCAGTATGGCTTTTTTATGGGAAACTTTTTAAAGACAATTTTTATTGCATTTATACTATTTTAAAAAAAATAACATTTTATGACATGTCTAATGAAATGTGTACGCTCCTTATATTTTTGTAACGACAAATGTACATAATATAATTTTTAAGACATACAATAGTATTACTTTTGTAAGACATACTATACTATGAGTATGTTTATTATATACTTTAGTAAGGCTTTTTATGACAAAATATGTGGTCTATTCTAATTACTTTTTTGGAGAAATAATGGCAAACTATACTAGGATACTTTAAGGTAAACTACGACTCATTTTTTGAATTTTTACACACAGTTAATCAAGACTTTTTGGAATGTCTAATCAAAAATCATTATTAAAAAAACATGAATAATGAAAATATTCTATAACTCTATATAAATCCATTCCTGGGTACTTATTTCCAGATCTACCCAGATGAGGGCCACTTTCTCCACAGTGACGGCACGCAGCAGCACCTGAGCCAGGCCCTGGTCAACTTCTTCGAGGTGTGTTTCCGGGTGCCGGAGATACTGACGGAGGAACCGGAGGAGGAGGAGGAGGAGGACGACAGTTAATCTCCTCTGAGCAGCCCCTGGCCAGCTTTACAGCACAACATGTAAGAGATTGTTCAAACCCAGCCAACCCACAACACCTGCTGTCCAATCAGATTTAAGCTCTACTCTGAAGCACCTGCATGTGCTAAAGGGGCCTCGACCTACAACCCCTCCCCCCCTGCCCTCGCGATCTCAGATGTGAACCTTCTCTGCTTTGGAATATATGGACTAGTTCGCCCTCTAGTGGACAAATGGAGGATCAACTTAACGTCCGTTGAGCAATGTGACAAGGCACATTCATCGGTCGCTTTACTGCACAAAATATCCCCTGTGAAGATCAACTGAGATTTAACTTTTGAAAGACTGCCAGTTTCATTAACCTTGCCAACCAACTTACTGATTATTGTGTTCAAGAGTATAATTACTACTTGTTTCTCCGAATTTCTCTGTTCAGTGTCGTGTCTTTAAATGGATGTCTGGCTGCATCAGTCCGTAGTTGCTTTACCAAACGAGGGCAATGTTTTAACTCCAAAAAAAAGTGTCTATACAGAAATAGTTACGACATCACATTTTCCCTCTTCCTATTCCTGAATTGAACTCTTTTTCTTTTAGTCGCTGTGCCTTACTGTGGGTGAAATGGTCATGTTGGGAGCCCACATGATACTGGAGTAAATATGGATAGGCCTTGTCTGAACTGCAGACTCACAACTAGATAATTTAATGTTCCTCAAATAATAGCCAGTTATAAGTGAGGGACATTTAAATCACAAAGCATGGCACAGTTTTATCTTAAAACATGGAGAGTACAAAATAATTGTATGGCTGCTTGAAAGATGGTATTATACTGACAGAAATGTAAAGAGTATTTGCAAACACAGTTCTTGATATTTACCTTCCAAACTGGCATACTGGTGAGTTAACTATGCTGAATTTTCGTTATTCTGAGAGTTACTTTGACTTGTGTGTGAATTGGCTCGAGTCTCTCCCCTTGTCACTTCTGTTAGTATTGTCAGTGGTTTCTAGTCAGCTGATGTACAAAGTGTATACATATTTTATTGTTTAAGTCTTTGTTGTATGCGCAACTTGTATATAAAGCGTTTTGAAATGTATCTTGGAGTAGCTTTCTTTGTCACTTTGTATTATATTAGTATGCAACCCAACAACATACGACTGCTGCAACATTGTATTGTTTAAAAAAAAATCCTAAACCAGTATATACCTTGCTGTGTGTAGTAGAAGTACTGCAGTAACATTGAAGGCTTAAAGTTTTTCCTGTGCAAGCAAAGGGCCATTTCACTTTAATAATAAGATTATCTTTCTTTTCGTCTTGATCCACCTGTACACAAATCTGTCTGAAAATCAGTTCAGATGTTGGCCACTTTTTAATGTCTTGTTTGTTGGGGTTGTGCAACCATTAGCCAATAAGGCAACCCCTGCCCACGTTATCACCTGAATCTCCTCCTACAGTATCATTGTTTTTTTTATAAACCAAACACTTTGCAGAGGGGCGTGGCAGTTCAATTGTATTTAAAGCTACAGACACAAAATCAGCAATTTTGAAACAGGGCTGAAACAGAGGGGTTTATGGGATGCTAAAATGGGTGATCTGTTTGGTATTTCAGCCAAACACTTCAGAGACATGTTTTGAATATATCCGACACCTATAATATGTTGTTGAAAAATAGTAGAATAGGGGACCTTTAAAATGTTCAAATACATGTTATGAAGTTGGTACTTTCTGAGATAAGAAATGTAACCAAGGCCCAATCCCAAACCACTCCCTCGACTCTACCCCTCCGTGACGGAGTGAACTCCGTCTGTAGCGACATTCGCAGCTCAACGAGGCTCCCTCCTGTCAGATGGGGGGAGTAAATACAGCAGCAAGCTTTGGGACGGCCTCTCCTCTCTCCGGCAGAAACAGGAAATGCCGTAACAAAAAGTTTAAATGAATAACTCAAATGAAACTCCAAACATCTTTCATTGCGTTTCAAAGCTCTTTTAGTTTTAAACCTGATGTTTATAAGCTTCTTAGTTTTTGCAACGGTCTGTAAATATACACAACTTTTTAATAAAATGCACACATTTACCTTTTTCTAGACTAAACACAGGTATGATCGTAAGTTAAAAACATATGAGGTTGTTAACATCGCAGTTTATCAGTGGATGTTTCCTGACGGACACACACAGCGTGACTCCAGTCAGGTAGAGACCGGTCTCAAGCATGGATCTCTCAAGTCAGCACCGCTGCAGACTCGCTGTTTGAGGGCTTGATAGCCCACTCCCCCTCCACACCCGTTGCTTTGGAACAGCCCTCAATATGGCGGACCCTCCGCGTGAACGCGCAAACGGAGGGGTAGGGTGTAGGGGGCGGTTTGGGAATGAGCCCAAATTGCACAAACAAGATGGATGAAATTAAGAAATATTGTGTCGTCCAGATTGCCAATAATGATCAAGCAGGAACAGGATTATACTTCTGTCCCATCAGCTTGAAGCGACTAAAATCATTTTTGACTGCCTAAAAGTACAACTGCTTTTAAACATTGATTATGAGTTTACTAAATGTTGCTTTTTGTCAATATAAAGTAATCTTGGTAGATTTGTTTGGTCTTTCTTTGCTGACAATACTCTTGTGATTATGTTCTACAATGCGACAGGAAAAAACACATTCATGACCATCTGCCATTGACAAAATTTATTTCCAGTGTTTCAGGAGTCTGTCCGAACCCCTCTAACAATCAGAGGACACAGCGGTGGTACAAACAGTCCAGCACGATGAAGAGTTTCCTCATGCCTCTTTCCTCAGAGAAGTACCAAACTGCCCACAACACCCGAACAGGCCTCATGAGCAGCATCATCATCATCATCATCGTCTCACAATACTGAACTTAAATCCTGCAATCTGATAGAAATGAAAAGTAAAGCAGCTAAAACATGGCATGTATATGTACATTTAAGTTACTTATTTTACAAGGAATATTTAAAATTCAAGTTCTGTTAAAATCAAAATATGAAAAACAGGAGAGAAAAAGAAGTATAAAACATGTTAAGACCGGAGTGGAATGCCTAAGTAATGGAAGATCGGCATTTTGTTACATAACTCTTAGAATGACAGAGTCGACAGTAAAAATGTCATTCACAGTAACATCTTCGTGTATCTCAACAAAGACAGTATGGCACCCTTAACAATTCATTGTGAGGCACTTCCTATTATGAAAAAAAACATGATTTTCCGATTTGAATACCCAATTTCTTTTAACTTTTTTTTCCACTTTGCAATCTACCGCCAGCCACTGACAGATGTGTGAAGCACGAACACTAAAAACACAGCATTACAGTTGCATCAGAGGGATGTTGTTCACTGCTCTTTAAACCACATAACTGGGATAATTAATAAGAACTCTATTTTCCGTTTGCATAAGTCCAGTGTCTCCTCGTCACCTCTGTACCTTTGGAGAGGCCCCCTTTGACAGCGGAGAGCTTGTAGGCAGTCCCACACACGGGCTGTACCAAAAACACTATTCAAGTACACAGAAAAATAGGAATATGTAAGCTTTAGAGTGAAACACAAGCATCTAAAGCTTTTAGTCAGTATTACAGCAAGCATGTCTGTACATTCTTCATTTGGTTACTGAGAGACTCTGAACATCATAACTTTCTTTACACAAAAATAGTTCCTCTGCAATACTAAAAACTCTTTTTACTACTTCCTATTCATTCTAAAAGTCAGTTTATCCTTAAAGCCACTTAGCTAAACCTTTAAACAATCTTAACTCGTGTCACTGTTCACACTTCCTTGCACAAACTTCACAGGCTCATTGTTTCACGAGCGACAGGTCCTCTCGATCTTCAGCATAACGGGGATTTGTTTTAGGAGAAGATGTCCCCCTGCTGCGCCATCCCAAAGTCATTTGTCAAACAAAAATAATAATAAAAGAGAAATTTAAAAATGTATAAACACCATTTTGTTTCATGCCTTATACATGAGCAAGGTCAACGATCCCTGTGTGCAGTAATTCTCTTTTCATAAGCACACACAACAGTTAAAGACACACACATACACACACTCTGGACAATTTTGTACAACATGCTCATTCACTAACGTTGGTCACACAACAGACATTATACTGTCAGACTCCCAAGTACGTACACATCTCACAGGCGGAGAACAAACACAGTCACACGCGTCCAACACTCATCACAGGTACTGGTAGAAACGTGAATGGACCACCTGGGAATTTGTGAGTTTATGTGGGTGAGCGGTGGCCGAGAGGCTCAGATTTTTACTCAGGGGGGCATCCCCCCCGTTCAACACCTCAGCGGGACGAGGTGGGAGTTCAGAGGAGGACGAGGCTCCGAGGTTCTGGGAGTTTGCTCGGCACAGCCCCCCCTGCTGGTCGGAGAGGTCCAGGCTGACCTCGGGGTTGCTGGTGCGGTGGCGCTCACGCACAATCCAGTCTCTAATGGAGAAGTCCTGAGAGCTGCACTTTGGCTTCAGCTGGTCCACAGCCGACAGCTCCGAGCGAGAGCCGATGCCAACGTGCGACCAGCCTCCCAAAACTGACAGCTCTGCAAAGTCCCTCTGACCGCCCATGGTGTGTCTGCGCCTGATGTTCTTCTTCTTGCTGCGGCCCTCGGGGGAGCGGCTCCTCACGCTGCCCACGCCGAACATGTCGTCCACAGACATCCTCAGACGCACCTTCAGCCTGTCGGTGATCTTCAGCTTCCACGCCGGCTCTGCCTTGTCTAACTCGCTCCGAGACGAGGAGCTGAGGCTGCCTGTGGAGCGACCGTTGCCCGACCCCATCACACACGACAGCCTGTTGGAATCTTTATCGCTCCAGGCTCCGTCCAGTGACGACTCGCTGACGGTTTTCTGTTGAGCGGCTTTCTTTCTGGAGAGCGTGTCGCACTCGATGAGTCTGTGGGAGGGGAGCGGTCGAGGAGCTTCCTGCTGCTCTCGGTGATCCGATCTTCCGACTGTGAACACCGACAGGTCGCTCTCGCTGTCCGTCTCCATCGGCCGCCCCTCGCTGATGAGCTCGCTCCTCTCGTCGTCGGCGTCGTCGTCTCCGCCTCGGCTTTCCGCCACGGACTGCACCTCTGGGCTGAGGGTGCTGAGCTCAGCTCCCGTCAGGAAGGTCATGGAGGAGGTGGTGGAGTAATCCGAGGTGATGGAGCAGACCTCCGCTCCGAGCCCGCTGGGGCACGCCTCCGGACCCGGAGCGGCCGCCCTCGCTCGCCTCATTCTGGGCACCGAGGCCTGCGAGCTGGTGCTGTTCATCGTACCGAGGTCGGACACCGTGTCGTCGTAGTTGGAAGGCGCGTCCGACAGAGAGGACTGGTGAGCCATCGGCATGCGATAGCTGAGGTTCGGGGAATGGGGGGGTGAGGCGTAGGGGGAGCTGATGTGAAGGGTGGAGGAGATGTGTTTTGGAGGCAGCGAGGGAGAGGGCTGCGATGTCCGGCGGCTAGAAGGAGATTCTTTCACGTTGCTTTTGTCAAGCTGTTCCTCTGAGCTGCTCCTGAGCTTTTCCTTCTCACTGGCTTCATCCGTCTCCCCCTCCTCCTCCCCCGTCCGGCTGCCAGGGGACCAGGGAGGCTGCTGCTGGCTCTCCCCCGGGAGCTCCTTCTTGGGGAACACAGCGTCCAGGTCGTCGTCTGAACTGCTGAATTGAGCTTTGTCCTTGGGCTTCTTTCGTTTGCGGCTGGCGAAGAAGGAGGAGCGCAGCATCTCTTTGCTACACTGATCCTTCCCTGACCCCCACAAGCCCTGCTGGTACAGAAACAACACTCATCAAAACGACGGACAAAAGACAGCAAAGAAAATGAATTCAAAAGACTTAGGTTAACAAAACAGGAAAAGGACATTACCTTTGATTTAGAGGAGTCACTACATGCTGAATCTGTATCAAAGAGAAAAGAGCCATTAGTAAACGTCTGCCGACCATCTGAATGACTTAAACAGTGAACATGAAAGAGGCGAGGCAGATTGAAAGTTTGTACGGAGTGAAACTGACGGACACGATGAGAACAATGAAAGCAGACGACACATTTTTGGCTCACAAGAGGACGAGAAACCACACTAAGCATTGTGTGAAGAAGTGGATGA